CAGGCACCTACATTCACATGTATACACATACATCTATTAACAATTTCTAAATAAAAAGGCATTTTAAGTTGGCGTAGTGGTGCAAGCCTTTAGTTCCAGCAATGGTGAGTCAGAGGTAGGCAGATCTCTGAGTTCGAAGCCAGCCTAGTCTACAGAAAAGTTCCAGGACAAGCAGGGCTATACAGAGAAACCCTGTCTCAAAACTGAGAGAGAGAGAGAGAGAGAGAGAGAGAGAGAGAGAGAGAGAGAGAGAGAGGAGAGAGAACATAGCTCAGACAGACATGCAGAGGCAGCCTCTATTGTGTTTCTTGTGATTTCCCCTAGAGCCATTCTTTAAATGTACAAGTGAATGCATGTGTGTTATCTGAGGGGAAAAAGACACGTGTGTTCGTGCACATACAAACGATAACAGTATATATACCCTGTTCAGCAATTTCTCACTTAATTATATTAGAGTTTTTCCATAGGACTTGAAGCTAATGTGAAGAACTTTGTCCTGTATATTCCTCCAACTAAACCTAGCTAATTGGGCAATAACACATCAATTAAAATGTTTGAATCCTATACCTCTGTGTTTTTTTTTTTCTACAACATTTTAAAGCTTTATTTGTAATTCTGTGCGGGCGGATGCGTGTAGAAGAGTAGAGGGAATGGAGCTGGCCAGAGCTACCAGATCCCTGGAGTTAGGTTACAGGTGTTTGGGAGCCATCAGAGGTGCTGGGAATTGAAGTTACATTCTCTGGAACAGCAGTGTGTATACTTCCACCCCCTCAATAAATTTTTAAAGAAAGTGAAACGCCATTTTCAGATGATGCAAGGTCATCAGCTTGTTATTCTGGAGACTGGCAGAGGGAGAATCAGGTTTTTCCACAGGCTCCATCCCCCACAGTCTGAACCCTGGGGAAGCAGAGTGGTTGAGGGCCAGCTCCTCTTTACTTAAATGAAGACCACACCAAGGGTATTAGAATTGGCATTTTGCAACCTCCAATGAATTATTGAAGTATTTGTCAGTTTCTGACTCTTTGTTAATTTACTTATTCTCTGACTTTTCACAATTTAGTATATTACTATAGCTCTGTAATAAGTCTGATATGCTGGAGAAAATCCCCGACAGAAACCAGCAGTCTTCTTTAGACTTTCATCTCTACTCTTGCAAATTTAGTTTCCCTTATAAATTTTACAGTGAATTTATCTACGACTTAAAAAGGCATGGTGGGTTTTTTTTAAAGATTGGAATTGCATAAAGTTTATAGATTTGCATAAAGAGGATTGCCATCTGTTGTAGGTACTATCTTAGCTCAGATAGAATATGGAAAACAAGCAAAGTTTTGCATTTATGTTGGGAAAACATTCTTGGTACAGATTTAGTTATTAAGCATCTGATGTAGCCTCTTTGCCAGATAGCATTAACACTTGGAAGAAAGCAGCAGTCTCAGGGTAAGGATACAGCCCAGCTCAGGGACAGTGCACTTGCCTAGCCCTTGCAAGGCCCTGGCTTTGATCCTCAGCACTGCAAGATAAATAAATAGAACAAAATCCAAGGGACTCAATCAGAGGCAGTTTCACGTCTCAGGGTCACAGTCATTTGTTAAAGTCAAGCTTGGTCATATCCTGGGAAGACATTTTGGTTTCAGCTGACTACCAGTGTTAGCCAGTTGGATCTGGTTATATGTAATCTTTGTTCCCACTAAAGGATGTGCAAAAAAGTGGAGAGAGTTACTTAAGCCCTGGAGGCTGACAGCAGAGTATGAATTAGATGTCTTATGACCGTGCCAGGTTATTCAGTCTCCTGGATGCTTGATTCCTCAGTAGAAAGTGGGACGGTTGAGGTGCCTAGCTGTGGGGCTGTGTGTGAAGCTTCAGGAACAGAAACTAAAGAAAGAACTTTGTGTTCTGTCTAGCACACACCCCACCCCATCCCATATTCAGTAGTAATGTTTATTATTCTTATTTAAATTTGTCGTCTGGAACTAGAGAGATGGCTCAGCAGTTGAGAGCACTTTCTGCTCTTTCAGAGGACCCTGGCTCAATTCCTAGCACTCACATGGCAGCTCAGAACCTTCCCTATCTCCAGTTCCAGGGAATCCGTTGCCCTCTTGTGAACTCCTCAGACACAAGCACACAAGTGATGTACATACATTCATGTAGCAAGCCATTAATACACATAAATAAAATAAATCTCTTAAAAAGATAGTCTTCTGACTCTCTTGGCAGATCCTGATACTATGTAGGAGAAATGCAGGCAGTTAGACAAGGATAGCCTGGAAACAGTGAGGAAATAGTAGCCTTTGTATCAGGGTCAGAGGCGGGAGACTAATGCGGAACAGGAAACATACCAGGTACTTCTTTTGGATTGCTTTGGCATGGACAGTGGAGGGCAGCTGATGGAGTTGAGCTGAATCTCCTCCAACCACATCTGCTTTACAGTAAACGGTAACTGTGGCATCTCCATGGAGGTCCAGGAGCAGGTGCTCACCTGCTTTTCTAGGAGAACTACAAACAAATTTCTGAATTAGAAAGAGGAAACTAAATGATGACTAAGCTGTTTTGCATTGAAATTCTGATTTAAATGTGTAAACAGTTCTGCATATAACTCCTCTATTTTCAAAGAATTGCAATTGTTTGAAACCATTTGCTCTCTCTGTTCCAAGTCAGAGAATTTAGAGTGCCTTGGGGTCCTTGTAGACATAGTGATCATCAAAGACCTGAAGAAACTAAGTGAGGTAAGGAGGTTAGGAGCTGCCTTGTTCACTTGTTGTTGTCTGTTGTTGCCTTGGAGACAAGTCCTTAGTTCTGAGTCCCTTTTACTTTTACATACCTGTTAATCCCTGATTCTGTCCTTGAATCAAGAATCTTTTCTCTACCTTGGGTCACAACCCTTTGGGATTGAATAATCCCTTCACAGAGGTTGTGTATCAGATATTTACATTACAATTCATAACAGTAGAAAATTACAGTTATGAAATAGCAATGAAATAGTTTTATGGTTGGGTCACCACAACATGAGGAACTGTATTAAAAGGTCACAGCATCAGGAAGGTTGAGATCCATTGCTTTAAGAGAACACTATGGGGATTGGTGAGATGGCTCAACAGTTAAAAGCACTGGCTGCTTTTGCAGAGGACCTGGGAACTGATTCCCAGCACCTCGGTGGTGGGTGGCTCACAACTGCCTGTAACTCCAGTTCCGATGGACTCAACATCCTCTTCTGGTTGCAACAGGCACTGCATTCGTGTCGTGCACAGACACACATGGGAACAAAACACTCAAACACATAAAATAAGATTAAAATAATAAAAAAGAACATTATGGAAGTTTCTGCCTTTTTCTGTGTGCTGTCCATGTCTAGCAGACAGATGGCAACTTTAAAGGAAAGGATGCACTCCTGTAAACGTGGCCTTGGCTGTCTTCACTTACAGCAGCACCCTCCCTCGTTACCCTGTCCTGTTACTCTTTCTTGTATTGATATCACTGTGACCACAGCATATTAGAAAACCCTAATAAAGTTATGTTTAATTAATTTACTTTTGATCTATTTTCTGGGGCTGGGGAGGTGGCTTAGTGAGTAAGACTGCTTGCTCTTCAATCAAGGAGACCTGAGTTTGAATCCCCAGCACTCATAAAAAATACAGGCATAGCTTCCATGTGCCTATAATTCCAGCATTGGGGAGCAGAGACGGGTGGATCCTGAAAGCTTGCTGGTTAGATAGCCTAGCCAAAACTACAAGCTTCCAGTTCAGTGAGAGACCCAGTCTCAAAACTGTAAGGCAGAGAGAGATAAAGGAGGACACCCGCTACGCTGCTGCAGCATCTGCACACAAGTGCACAGGGTGCAAGTGCACATGGATGTCACTCACATGCACACACACATAATTCATTTTCTCATGTCCTTTGGGAAGACATCACTAACCTAATGTAATTTTTATAGTAATGCTTTTGTTGTTCTTTTGTTTGTCTGTTTTTGGAAGTAAGTTCTTATATAGCCCTGGCTGTCTGGCCGAGAGTTTACTGTGTAGCCCTCTAACCAGAATACCAGAGTTTACTGTGTAGCCCTCTGACCAGAATACCAGAGTTTACTGTTTTGCCCTCTAACCAGAATGCCAGAGTTTACTGTGTAGCCCTATAACCAGAATACCAGAGTTTGTGTCACTTGTCACCAAAACACTGATAAGCAGATACAGGAATCGTATTTTTTTCTCAAAATTGTTATTTTTAATTATGTGTAGGTGTGTGTATCTGCATGTAGGTATGTGCATATGAGGCCAGAGGTGACGGATGCCCTAGAGATGCTCGACAAGAACACTGCAAACCTAATGCAGGCCCCCTGCAAGAATAGCAAGTACTCTTAACCACTGAGCCATCTCCTTAGCCCCAGGAATTGAGTGTTTAAACTATACTTTTTAGATCTGACAACTTGTGAAAATAGGATTACTAGCCCATAAAATCTGCCTTCCCTCCCAGCTCTTGCCACACACCTCCTAGGGAGTGGGAACAAAGGTCATGCTGGAGCCTTGTGGGAAGTCTTGTCTGTGAAATCCACAGTGCAGCTCTTCTTATTGTCTCCTTATTTTCTCTTGTTACTAAATCTCGCGTGTAGCCAGCTCTCGAGTCCCACTCGGGTAAGTTAGCTCAGGACACACTCATCATTGTGTCTGCTGATTATGATTATTCTGTAGTGTGTATGTGCAGAGTCTTTCCCACATTATGGAATACAAATGTGCGCTTATAACTAGAATATAAACGTGTCCCCACCTACTGTTTTGGCTACCATCAGACCTGATTGGCATAAAATTTACTATGTGGCTTCAAACATCTTCCTGCCTCCACTGTCTGAGGGCTGTGACCAGCGTGCAAGGCCTGGTTTTGTAAAACTCACAGTTGTCTAGTGTGAGTAGGGCCGGTGTCATAGACGCAGTGTTAGTGAATGGTGTGCAAAACCTAGTCAAAGAGAGCAAAATTCTTATTCCTAGTTATCATGAAGTATGATTTGTGCATTTCAGTGAACGAGGAACCTACTACAGCCAGTGATCCCGAAGAACCTTCTGTTGTTGGTGTGACAGCCCCACCAGCTGCAGCTTTGAGCGTGTCCCCAAACCCCAGCACAACATCTCTCCCTGGTCCATCCACACCAGCGGAGGGAGAAGAGCCCAGCACTTCGGGGACACAGCAGCTCCCTGCCACCGCCCAGGCTTCTGATGCTCTCCCTGCTGGGTGAGTAGCCTTGTGTCCCATCATGTTACTCGACTCCTCAGCAAATGCCTTCTCCACCAGGTCAGAAGCAATGTGGTCAATTCATACCTAGTGGCCAGGGGTCTCTGGGAAGGCTGCCATGTTTAGGAGCAAGAGAGGTGTAGAGGTGCTTGCTTGGCAAACATCTGAAAGATCCTAAACTATCTCAGGAGGCAAGTTAGTGCTACCTTCCCCTGGGACCCAAGTGCACAGCTTCTGTGGGACAAGGAGCTTGTTGCTTTTGTGAATTGTTTGTGTGTGTGAGAGAGGGAGGTGTCTGACTAGATGCTGCCTAGAGAATAGCTTTTTCCCTCCTGAGTTTGACCTTGGCAATCCATGAAGGACTCAGGCTTTAGGTGCTGAATTGCTGTGCCCGTTATCCCCATAGCCGTGGCCCGTGTCAGCACAGGTACTCACTTCTTTGACCCCTTTTACTCTGGATAGCAAAGACCTCAACCAAGATGACAACTCCGGCAAGACAAAGAGAAGCTCAGTTTTGACTATGTAGTGAGATGGGACAAGGAATATGGATTCTGGGGACTGACCAGATGGCCCAGCGGATAAAACCACTTGCCACCAATCTAGGCAACCTGAGTTTGGTATCCATATCCACATGGTGAAAGGAGAGAACTAGCTCCTACAAGTTGTCCTCTGACTTTTTTAATATATATATACACACACACACACACACGCACGCACACAGAAATAAGCATATGTAGAAAAAAATTAAAAGAACATGGATTTGGAAGGGGGGGATCAATTAGATTGGGGATTGAATCCATTCCTTGACTTCACCTGTGTGGCCTTGTCTGTGTGAGTTACATGTTAGTTATGTGGTGACAATAAGCATCCATGTCTAAGAACTCCAATAAGATGGTGTGTATGAAACATGTGCTGACAGACAGGCAAGCCTTGCCTTGAAGTGGCTGTGAAGGAGCCGTAAAAACAGAGACTGCTTCTGACCTGGGAAACAAAGTCTTAACCTCAGTTAAGGCCGAGTGTGGTCAGGGCCAGTCCCATTGTCCATCCTGGTTATCAGTATGTCCCATGCTGGCAAGATGGCGTACTGTAAGTTGATTGCCACCAAGCCTGAAACCCCCCAGGTGGAGGAGAAAGCCGATCCCTGCAGGTTACCCTCTGACTTCCACGTCTGCCCACTGTCACGTGCTCCCTGCCCCTAAGTAAATGTTGTTTAAAAAATTGTTCTAGGGCTGCTGGTGCCATGGTTCATCAGGTAAAGGCATTTGCTCCCTAGCCTGGCAGCCCAAGATCAATCCCCAGACCCTCGTGTAGGAGAAAGCTGAGCAGACTCCTGTGGGTTGTCTGTTGGTCTCTCCAGGCTCTTCCCCTCACAGACACACAAACAAATAAATGCCGAAAAAAGTAGTTTTAAAGAATCCCGTTTCTGTCCTCCTCAGTCACTGGTGATGTGTTGATGTAGGCTTGAGGATGGTGAGTATGTCCTTGATGTATAATTCATAATGGACGTGGAAAGCTGTCTCTTGCATCCTGAGGATTATGACGCCTTGTTCATAGGGCCGCTTCTGATCTCCCAGTTGTTAAAATCCTGTATCCGAGAGCATGTGTGGTTTTTGCTGCTTGTATTCACAGAACTCTTTTCTCCTAAATAGTGTGCTGAGCAAATGGGAACCATTATAGATAAGTCTTATTAACTCAAATCTCAAGAAAATTGGAGCGTTGAGAGGCAGTTCTGAAAAGGCCATCTTTTTGGTCAAGGGTTTGATTTTGTGAAAAGCCTATTCACCAACTACTTGTGTACCCCTGCAGAGATTTTCTTTCCTCTTTCACATGTGCTATGGGAGGCTTGAAAGAACTATGTGTTGTTTGTACTTTCAAATCTGTGTGCTATAATTTGGGGGACCAGAGCAGAATCATTTTGGCAGAAAGGAGAGAAAATGGCGGCCTCTGTCCCCAGTGAGCTGTTTGTTTTCTTTCCGTTGAGCAAATGCCTGGAAGCCCGGCCTCTCTCCTGTGTCAGTCACAGGCAATTAGGGCTAATGGCTCAGCATGTCTTTATGTGGGGTGTGTGTGAGGGTTTACTGTTCTCTGGGATTGGGCTCTTCCTGTTTCCAAGCAGTTGGAAAACTCCAGACTCTGAAAACGCGCTTTATTCAACAGTCCAGGGAAGCCTGCCCCCACTCACCCCCCTTGCCAGAGGCTAAAACACTTTTCTGAGGTAGAATTTAGACAGTGACTTTTTCTTAGAGAATTTAGAATGTGACAAGGCCCATGCATGTTTGTGTGCGGGAGTGTGTGCGTGTGTGTGTGCTGCTACCCACTTTTATGTATAGAATATTCCAGAGAAGAGTTTGGGAGTCCCGGTTTTCCAGGAGTACTCCTACCTCTGTATCTGAAGGACCAGGTCAGTGCCCAGGGCATGCCACTCCTCTTGGAGCGGGCCACCAGCACTGCTGAGCGCATGGCAGTGCAGACAGCAGGCTTTTTGGTTGGCTTTGGTATTGGAACCCAGAAAGGACATAGTTTCTACAGCGGTCCTCCCAGTTTGTAGACCCAGTGCCTTCCTCCCTCCATTGTTTCTAAGTTGAGACCCAGGCAACAAGATGGTGAACACAGTCTATTATATTACCGTAAATACTAGAAGAGGAGTGAAGTGCAGCTCCATGTGGGGCGCCGATGGGGACCACAGAATACCTTTATCACTTATGAGAATCTAGAAAGGAAGCGTCTAAGCTGACGTCTCTAGTGTCCAAGTTACAGACAGGTCAATGCCTTTGTAGGATGATATGCATTTTTTTATTTAAAAGTTTTTCATTACATTTTTTTCATTACATTCTTTTTAAAAGCATGTGTAGTTGTGTGTACAAAACATACAGAGCTCAGAGGACAGCTTTTAGGGAGTTTCTCCTTTTCTTCCATCATGTGGGTTCTGGGAGTTGAACTAAGGTTGTCAGGCTGGTGGCAAGAGCCTTTCCCTGCTGAGCCATCTCACTGGCCTGCATTTTTCCACCAGACAGGATAGTCGTTACTGTTTAAGGGACGGCAAGTCCAGGGCTAGGCCCTGCAAATGGACAGCTAAGCAAGAAACAGTCTGTGAAGTCTGTTCTAGTCCCACTGAATTCTCTCTCTGGCACCAGATTCGATCCCTTGCCTTCGTTGAGAACTGATGCCAGCTCTCATTTCTATATCTTGAGCCCACTGTAGTAGCTGTGTAGCTTAACTCAGCCTAAAACAGAACCATTACCTGACCCATCCTAACTTGTCCTGCACATAGTACACCATTGGCCCAGGCGACCACCAGGCCATTGGTCTGTCTTTTTTTTTTTTTTTTTTTTGGTTTGTTGAGTCAGGGTTTCTCTGTGTGTTGCTCTGGCTGCCTGTCCTGGAACTCCCCTTGTAGACCAGGCTGGCCTCGAACTCAGAGTTTCCACCGACTTTTGCCTCCTGAATGCTGGGATTAAAGACTGGTGCTACCACCATCCAGCTATCTGTCTTTCTTTAGACTAACCTTTTAAAGTAAAACTTCTAAGCATGACCTTTCCCACTTGGAGTGCCACAGCAGCTTCCTATTGTCTTTAGGGATAAGTTTCCAAATCCTTAACTAAGCTGCAAATCTCCGACAGATGGGCTCCACCTGCCCCAGCCTCCTGTGGAAGCCGTCCTCCCTTTGCAGTCTCAGTCATAATAAAGGCCTTTGGTCCAACCCGACCCATGCCTGCCTCCTCCAGGCCGAGGGGCCTCCCCATGACAGTCTTTCTCAGTGCTTCTTCAATGTTGTTTTACATTTAATTCCTTGTGTTTCAGGGTAATGACAGTCCTCAGGGAAGCAGTCCTTCCCGACCCCTGGTAGACAAGGTTGAATAAGGCCATATCTCCTCTCACTCTTGTCATTGCTTGTTCAAGTCCCTCATCATTCTGGGCTGTAGGTGACTAGGAGCCTGGCACAAAGTAGGCCCAGGACCTACTTGTAATGAATACTTCTAAGTGCTGTCTTTCTCCTCCCCCATTTCCTTCCCCCTCCCTTTAAAAAAAATCTGAATTAATGCTCTGCTTCACCGATGCTTTAAAGAAAAGGCATCTCTAAAAGAATATTGCATTTTTCTTCATTCGCCCTGTTGACCGGCCTTGGGCTCAGTGGTGTCTGTCACAGATCACAGCCCACCCCTTCATAAAGGCTCCTCATCTCTGGATTCTCCTCAGCTTAAAATATTTTTAAGCTAAACTAGATTGTTTGCTTGGGCCTCAGGCTGACTCCTCCATCTCATCTGCTTTATTGAATGATAAGGAGAGAGGAAGGGAGGGAGGGACGGAGAGAGAGAGAGAGAGAGAGATTTATTGGGGATTCCAAGAGTTGCCACATTGGTGCTCTGAAGTTTCCAGCAGGAAAAACTGGTCACACACATCTGTGTGCTTCCAGGCCAAGGGCTTCTGAAACGGGGACTGCCTGAGGCCAAATACAACATTCTTTATTCCATTTCTCTCTGTCTGGAAATCCTTTTTTTTTTTTCTTTTAACCTAATTAGCCCCAGAGAAGCTACTGGAAGGTGTGGAATTTCCAGGTTATAAGTGTCTATTGAAAGAAGGGGTGTTGAACACACGTGAGGTAGTGGCCCAGGCAGGGAGTAGAAAGCGTGGCCACTTTGGTCAGTTGGCCCTGTGTCTGGTTTTTGTCAGTGTTGAGCCCACTCTGGAGACTGAACACCCATGAGCAGACCATGTGTACATAGCTTTGACAAACCTCCAGCACGCCTCGGTCTCTCACTCTCAGAGTCCCTCACACAGAGGCGCATTATTTCGGCCTGGCAGCTAGCGCATGGCTGTGGTTTCTTACATAAGAGAGTACGTTGTGTTTGGACTGCCGGCTTACCTCAGCTCTGCCATTTCACACCATCCTTGTTCTCCCCAAGTCGTTGGCTGCCCTGTTTCCTGCCTCAGAGTAGAATTAATGGGGTGGTGTTTTCACATTTGCCATCTGTTCCCGTGCCCGTGCTGGAGACACAGAG